CACATGCCAGAAAACTGTCTGCCTCGCAGAGCTCTTTTCGCCCAGCACTGTGCTGGATGGAACCAACCGATAGTGCATAGCCTGGCAAAGAAGTGCGAAAACACTGACCGATCAACTCGTTCGGGCAGAAAACTGCCACCTTCTTGGATGGGGACCTCGTGTCTCAACTCACCAATGGTTAATACTGACAGAAATGACCCAATCGCAAAATCAGCGGCAATTGTACATCAAAGCAACTACCTAAAATGCGTAGCTAATCAGTTACAAAACTAAAAATGCCATCGCGTCCAGTGCTTGACTTCATCTCTCTCACTTTCCGGCGATCGGATATGTGGTAATGTACCCATAGTACGTGGTTTCTAGTTGATAAATTGGATTAAACTGAATCACGTTTAATCACCAGTAAAGCAAAAAGCCATGGGATAAATGGCGCTAGGTTTCGGGATGAGCATGCCCAAATCCTTAAGATCTAAGGTGCTTAGCCAAGCCTCAATTGTACTAGAGAGGTGGTAATGAAGGAATGTGGGGCGCTCTCTGAGTTCCAGGTTTTAAAGTGTTCCTCATTTCATCAATAATCTAATGACGTATAATGAAACCAAACAGCAATGTGGTCCTCGTTTGCTTTGTCATATGATACAATATAGCCCACACAAAACGGAAGCCAGCAACCACTAGGGTGCCTCAGACTAGGTAAAAGCAAATGCCGAGTTAAGGCATCGGATGGCAAGCGAACCCGAACAGAAATTCGGTCTTTATGATGAGCGTTTGTGACCTCCGAACATCTTTGGTTCAACAGCGGTCAATCCGCATTCGAAAACCATAGCAGACTAATATTTTGTCATGACCATTTTTCTATATTTCACTCCATAATGTACCGTCCGGAAATGCTGAGACGGAAATGATGAGGCACGACTGCATCGACCTGAAAAGTCTGTGTTGTGTATATGAAAAAATTACGGAATTTATGTTCGAAAAATGAGTTCATCACATAACTTCGCGAGGTCGATTAGTCGGAGTCGACCGAGCAAACCAACTAAGCTAATCCTGGTTTGGAAAACAAAGCATGAGTAGTTTAGTGTATGCATCAAGAATTCCCTCTTCCCACCCAAATTTGAATACTTTCTTCGCAGGTCCCAGCACTAGCACTGACCGTTTCGCTCGCCCTGCATCACACTTAGCTGCAGCTTCGGTACGTCCGAGTTCAGTCACAACCCTAAGCACTTCGAATTCTGTTTTCAAACCCCGAGCGCTTGTCTACTTAGCCACCCTTAATGTCCGCACAATGAAACAAACAGGTCAACAGGTGGCTCTTGCTCGTACGCTGGATTCCCCCTGCACTGATGTGTTGTCTGTCAGAAACAAGGGTGCGCGATGAAAGTACCGTTATCGAACTGACTGCTCCCTCGCTCTCTTCCAGGTTCTGGCTTCGCACCTATGCTGATACAGAGGCCGCTGCAACTGGGTATGTTAGGGTGGGTATCATATTGAGGGACCGAGCAGAAGCGTCTCGGCTTGACGGAATACCCGCTGATAGTCGCCTGCTGGGTTGCCCCTCTGGGCCGGTTCGCCCGGACAGTCTGCCCTCCGACTGACCATCCATATCGGCGCCTTCTTAGCGTGGACGCCCGATCAACATGCACGAGCCAGCACCAGAACTCCCAACCCCGCGAAATTCCGGAGATTATTTCAGTTGATCCGTGCGACCGGTCCCCGGAAACCACCTGTGAGTGAAACTATCAAACACCAGAATGGAACGACCATCACAATCTCCAGTGATTCTCCTTGAATCGTAAGGGATATGTTCGCAGATGGCACGTTCCGAAGCACGACTTTGCACCTTGAAGGTGGAAAGTGTATACTAAAAGATGGCATGATGGTGGTCAGTCTATTCAACAGGACTAATGCTTCGCTTTGGTCTCTAAAGATGAGGACAATGTCACCTGTGTACTCCAGATTGAGAAGGCTCTCACCAGCAACAATCTCGACACCGGGATTTTGAAGACCTTCCATGGTTCGCTGCGTTATTTCATCAGTGATGAAGTTGAACAAGAATGGGGAGAGTAGACATTCTTGTCACAACGGGCGTCAAACTAACACCTCTGTGGCTACTATCTTCACTACCCTTTTTGTAAATGGGCACTACTGTCCATTCATCCCAGTCGTCTGGGACGGTCCCCTTCTCCCAGATAGACCCAAACAGGCTAGACAAGCACAAGCCGAGGAGTTTTTAATGCCATCCTTGAGGAGAGCATGTGGAAGGTCGTCAGGACCAGCAGCACGATGACGCTTCAGTATGGAAATACACTCCGACATTTTGAGACTGAAGACGGCTCAACATTCATATTCATATTCAATATTCATATTCAAATTCACATTCATATCGGCAGAAGGGCGTGAAAAAGACCACGAAGAGTTTGGGTATTGTTGGTGTTGTACGGCTTCCAGGATGGGGTCCCCGTGACCCCACCTGTGCTTGGCTGGAGAAGTTGCAAGAAGTGGCGGCTAATCGATCTCAGTGGCATTTGGGCTGTCAGTTTCCTTCAAGATTGTCTGACTGGCACTTGGAGGTGTAGACACCTCAGAATGCTTGACATAGGCCAGCGCTAGGCTTCCTCCCTCACCCACTCTTTTCCTCTTTTTTTCACTCTAGGGCTTTGAGTATAATTGAGGGCGAGGTGGCTCAAGTGGTTATTTGGCTAGTCTTGGAATGTCTGGTGAATGTAATGGACGGACATAACACCTAGAATGTTATTGTGGGCTCCAAACAAGGCTACGTCAGGAAGGTCAAGGATCTACCACAAAGAAATAGAAGTTCATAAAGTTGTGAAGCATTTTTCACCACCGTATCTGCAATTAAAACTACAAATAATCTTGTGCCACATCAGCTATCACTTGAAGTCGTTAACGTGAACCGCTAAATGCAATGAGACCAGTATATGAAAACGGGTTACTGACGGCGCCGTCCTTCTTCCATTCATTCCTCCCCCAGTCGGCTCTTATCGATTTCCCCCGTACTCCCATTTTTGATCGACTCCGTTCACCCTTCATCACAATGATGCGCTATTTACTCGTAACTCGACGACCACAGACAGTAAGAAATCACTGGCTTTACAAACCACATCGTCACGACATACGTAAATTTGTGTTGAACTCCTATATTCCCAACTCTCAAAGTTGGTCGTTTTTCGCAAATTACTCAGGTGTGAAGTGACCACCATTCGATCTAAAGTGCAACCTTATCATATATGTTCATCTCGCATGCTTCATTCAATTTAACCAGTCCACGGATGGTACGACGCCGCCTAAGAATCGGCACCAAAATAGTTGTTCAAAGTACAATCAATAATAAGCAATAATCGTTCCGCTGTAACACTATTTCGGCGCCTACCTGTCATGCCACCACAAGGAAGCACAAGGGCGGGGATACTGCCAGATTGCTCAAGCCTAGACAGGGGAAGTTGAGAGGCAGAGGTCGGGTTCGTACCAAGGACCTCCCGGTCAGTAAGTTCATACTCTAACCACCGAACCAACTAGCCCCAGTAAAATCAATACAACGGTTGAACGAATCTCCATGCGCGGATCGTGCACACTTTTAATGTTCACCGCGAAATTTCATGAAAGTGCACACACGGACCTGTTCCTAGCCTGTTTGTGATCTATGGATGTAAACAACACGCAGCCATCGTCATTTAGAAACCGACTTCTCCTGCTAGGGGACTTTGTTCCTCCTACTCTTTTTCCCCTTAACATACTCGTCGACTTAACTCTTGAGTTTATTCTCCGCAGAGAGGAGTAAACTTTGGCGTAGGTTTTCTCGAGGTCATAGCATCCGGCCGGTTCTTCGGCTCCCGCGATCCGTATCGTCTTCACGATCTCCTCAAACCCATCGTGCAGATTTTGTGTACACTGCCAGCTGGGCCCAAGTTCACATGTGTGCACGACTTGCTTGCCACTAGTTCATGGAATGCGACCCAGCTATTGCCCAGCCTGCCTACTGGCCTCCCGGTAGGCTTCGTTCTACCACGGTATTGTGGGTGTGATCGTCTGCAACAGGGCTTGCAGATCACCAAATCTTGTTCGATGACTGCGGCTGAGTTGGATGGTCTTGACACTGGTGCATGAAAATATCCGGACGCTCAAGCTTCGGCATTTCGACTCGCAAAATGCCATCAAAAGCTAAGCGCCGCCAATCTTTTAACCGTAGTTTGCTGCGTATAAGGGGACGCATTCCCTAGCGCTGTGGAATAAAAGTCACTGAATATCAAGGCTCCCGTTTTGGTCTCCTAGCTTCATTTCCACTCCGCTCCACGGGGGTCATACATTTGCACCGCCCACCGCAAGTATACCTTATGAACTCATACTAGTCAGACTCCAACACTATTCTTCAGCGTCTGAGCCGACGCCGCAGGCAAAATCGTTTCCGTCTTCAATGACTCCGACGAAACTAAGCTCAGATGTCAGTTGGCACCCCGCACATACTTCGTCATCCGCTCTCTCGATAACCGCCCTGTTATCACAAAGTGCCTTTCGCTTTCGCATTGCCGCATCATTTTTCCTCATTACTTCGTTGAATGCCACCCTTTGCCAACCTTCTTATAGCTAGCCGCAAATAGCGTCTCACGTTTTGTTTTTACGCGCTGTCACTTTCCTGCAATTTTCTATTTCACTCCTCCTCGGTCGTCTGCTCCCAGTTCTTGTTTGCTTCGGACATTGTTTAACTTCCAACGCCCGAAAATCATGACAGAAAACGAAGCCGCCCCATTGGATGTTGTGGATGTTCCGCCTAACACACGCGGCCCACATACGATTGCTATAGTCGGGTGGCTCGAGATGTCCCAGAAGACCGACACCGCAAATGGTCCGAGTCTACATCAGGTCGAGTGATATTCTGCCCGTCATCGGACTGAATCCTCGTCAAGCGGAGTACACACTGATTTGCGCTTGTTCAAATGCGGACAGGGTGAGAGCATAAGTGTTATTCACCTGAAAAACCCACTTACTTTTGCCAGTGTAGCGAGATAATCCAAGTAGAACAACTCTGGTCCCTTTTGAGTGTCATATCCGGCAATCACCATGTTAACTTGATAGGGTTTCTGCTCAGATAAACACCGATAATACGAATCAGACACGAACCCGACTGCGCAGAGCATTCGCCAGATTGCTCCTCGTGAAGTTAGCTGCCCCGTGTGGAGAAAGCTCATAACCTGAACATAAACACATGAAGCTTAGATAGCATACCATTCCTTATTTCATACAGTTGCATATTCTGTTGGATAAATTCAGCGAACTGTGTGGTATCTCCTGCTTCACCGCATGCCGCGGCCAAAATCCTCGTGCTAAGAGGGAACATTTTATTTTGGTCGTGTTTCATTGTAATAATTGATCTGGAAGATCTGGCATCTGCAGCTATCAAACAGAAATCTTCCGCCTGTATTCCAACTAGGCATTCCATTTCACCGAAAGAGTTTGGCACACGACCAAACCGCAAGTCAGTAAATGATTGGCCGATGGATCAGTGATTGGCGATGCGCTGGCGGATGCCAGTGATTAATATGGATCCTGGGACAAACTAAATTAGTAACCGCAAGGGTGCCAACTTACATCCCGCTGCATATGAGGATTACGGGTTACAGCATTCTTACATTCATACCCGAGTACCGGCGGTCAAACTAGAAATGATCCGAATGTCCGACCATTTCATTCATTTAGCGGTGAGCGCGTCAACAGTGCATCCATATGTGACACGTGCCAAAAGGACCACACCGTTCTAGTGTTCTCGCCTTAGGATAATCGGGCTTCCTGTGAATTCTTTGATTAGAAGAATAGCCGTTGTTAGATTCAGCCGCCCAATCTTTACATTCGGACCGTCATTTCTGTAACATCAATTCACCATGGGAACGCTGAAGGACTGTGTAACTTGAAAAATTCTCGCAAATATACCTCACTCGATTCTTTGTTTTCTTGATTCAGCTGGATCTGCCGTGAGTGCTTTTCCGCCCTCGGGCTCGATGTGACCAACCAGACGCTCCGTTGGGTTCTCTGCAGCAGGAGTTTATTGACTAATTAATCACCTTGAACACCGCGGCTCAGTTTCAGGGTCATGAACATTCGGTTGGTTGTCTATGGGGGCCCGAGGTTCATAGACGGACTTGAGGTGTCCATGCAAGCTCCTCAAGCAGGCAAAACTTAGGATGGAATCCACAGGCATCAGTTCGCCCGAAAATCACAAGCGACACAGCGACGCCTACAAGATCAGAATCCCTGAATGCTCCACATTCCAAAAAACTCGTCCAAGAATCAAGCAGGAGGGTTTTCCCGTTTGAACCTCACCCGCTATTTGGCTTGGCTGTTCTTCTAAGAAGTCCATCCGTTAGTCTCGGCGAGCGGGTCGATTACGGCGAAAACCCGGGTTTGCGCCTCAGAGCAGTGACAATCCGAAATGGGTGCTGGAAGGAACGGACACTTGCGCGAAGCCTACTGTCAAAATAACAGGCTTACCTGCCGTACTACGGGTCTGAGTTATCAGCTTGAGGCCAGGGAACCTTCACCTGATCGCCAAAAACTGATCGAACTAAAATTCGAAATTTTCTGCTCTGATTAGCACAAAATTAGCGCCCATTACTTATAGAACCGAGGTTTTCTTGCTAAGTCAAGACTATTTGTATCACCCAGAAATAAGGTTGGGCCCGGCCAAGCAGACAGCGCTCGAATACTGAAGTGTCAAGCCAAATTTTATCGCCCAAGAGCAGATTAGGTTTGCTCCCTGTTCAGTTACCTCGTCAGGGCCGGTTGTTAATACAACCATCAATTGTCTTTAAGATATGTGCAGCCGTGGGCATGTCAACTTTAATTACTTTTGCGTCAAGGGACTGACCAAGAGTCGAAAGAAGGAAAGTAAAAGATGCAAGTGCTACTAGAAGCAAGGCACAACATTTAGGAAAATTTCCACCTCAGCATTGGACAGCCTCAAGTGTGAGCTCGACAAATTTATCGTCAGCAATTAAAATAAACGCTTCGGAGCACAATGCGAGCAATGTTTTGCTGAGAAAACTCAGTGCACCACGATGAAGTTTTTCTGTTTCTGATATTACCAGGGCAAGCAGGATTTATCGGTCAGTCTTAGCGGAAACGGGACGTTAAGTGGAGAAAGTTCGACAACCGTGTCCAAAGCGCAAAATTTATGAACAAGGTGGTTGGTTAGGAAATGTGGCGCGTTCAAAGTATGTGATATAGCTGTTTATGGTGTAGAATAACGTGCCATGATTTAATATCAAGATAGCCCTTCAAAAACTAGGCATTTTGGCACAGCCAGTGCTTTAATAGTACTTGGTAACAAGGTAACCAGGAAACAAGTTTACTCAACAAAAATGCAGTCAGTCATCTGAATGTAAATTCTATTCTGAAAGAGCCTTACAACACCCCCAAGGGGATTGTAAAACCAAAAATGAAGACATAACAAGGGCTTAGCTGTGCATTTACGAATGACATTAAATTGATGCTTGAAGCTGAGAAAAACGGCTTACTATTGAACCACCACATAAAGTGATGCTCCTTTAAACTTGAGTAAGGTAAATCTGGCGATGGTACCGCTATCCTGATCCAACTCCGACCAAAACTTGGTCAAATACAACCACCTGTGCACGTAAAAAATACTTCACAAGTACAAAATTGGCGCGGTTTTAAGTCTCTTGGCCTATACATGCGTGGGCCTCAAAAGCCTGCATGGTTGCTTTACGCGTGTCTAGGGGCAGATTTTCAGCGGAAACCTAAGTTTATCCTGAGGCAGTCAAATTACCTAGCATAGAATGACATAAAACATAACATAAAGTTTTTCGTGAAATTTAAAATATATGTCAACCTTTCCTACCAAGAGCCTTACAAAGCATCCACCAGACACTAGCCGCCGAATAGATTTGTAAAATGTCAACATTCTGAGACGAAAAGTGAGATTCACCTTACAGCGACTTTTGGCCGAGGCGATGAAAGTCGCCAAGCATCCCAGCGTGAAGAGAATAAAGGTTGTTGGACTAGCAGACGTCTGGATAGCGATTTGAGATCTGCCGAGATTACGCAAGTTGGTATACAGTTATCAGTAAAATGGTCCCGGCCAAAAAGCACAAAATCCAAGCAAAACTAAGATCCAATTAACCATCCCCAACCCCAACCCCAAAACCGATTGTCCCGGCACTTTTCAACGAACGCAGACGAACAAAGAGGAACATTCCGTTAAGGTGTCTCGGACGGAAATAGCAAGGGCGTAAAGTCCGGTTTCAACCTGAAGACAATCGCCCTAACCGATTCTATCGTAAATGTTAGTCATATCCACTAGGCAACAAATAAGGACTTCGGACCAGCACCCAGCACTAAACAAGTCGGTTGGTCATAAGAAGTATCATGGATTGTCTCTCTGACTGCCTTCAAACCAGGTAAACCGGCTCAACTACGCACTCAACCAGACGCAGCTTTTGTGTCAATAGCGAAACAGTGCCCAACAATAAATCCACCAATCATTTACCAAATCCATCGGTCCTAAACTTTTTTCAATCGATTAACCCCCTGGTAACTTTTGTGATAATGAGATGATCTCCAGCGGTTAGCGTACTAGCCCAAGCCATGGATGTAGTGGTGAACAACGATTTGGCCCAGTGAGCGGGCGGCCGGCACGGCATGCAATAAGTGAGTTTTACGGGCATCAAAGGCAGACAGTAAAGTTGGATGACCAGCACCTTAGAATTTTGCATAAATCCCTCTGCCAGTGCGTTTTCCCGTGCGAAACTAAAGCGCTTGGTCAAAACTGGCATATTTGTGTTGGACTGCGAACAGTTTCTCGGAGTGGGTCCGACAGTCGCAGCATCACCGTCGTGGCTTCGTGCTTTGGTTATCGGATAGGCTAGCGCATGAACGTCTTGGGTCATACACTCGAGGTTGTTAGGATGGCTCAGATTGTCTAAAGATATGTGGCGGAACTAGCATAGTGCTTGGAGATTCTTAGGTCAGTTAAATCAAGGTAAATCAAGGTAAATCAAGGTTATATTGGTCTAAAAAGCATTTTGCTTTACAATGACCAAAGGATATTGGTGTGTGTGTATGTATACAGATAAACGGAATGATATGACATATATGTTCTATTGTTTGTAATCTGCATCTCAAATGTTGATGAGGGAAGTTGGGTGAGATCTTATGTATTCGTCAAGCGAATGTTTGAAAGTCTCGAGGTTACCACAATCCACAACAGATGTTGGTAGTTTGTTCCACGTGAGGGATACGCGGACTGAAAAAAAGTAGCGCCGACAGTTAATGCGGGAACATGGAATGTCAACGGCCAATGGATTCCGTCGGGTCTGTCGGGCCAAATTAACTGTGAACAAATGTTTTAAAGGGTGATTAGGGGTGTTTATTATCTTGAACATCAGGATGAGGTCTCCTCGTATACGCCGATAAGTTAAATCAAACAAATCGAGTTTACGTAGCCTTTCACTGTAGGGAACGTTTCGGAGGCCAATGACCAGCTTGGTCGCGCGGTGGTAGATACGCTCTAGCAGTTGTGTATCCTTTTGCAGCCATGGAGACCAGGCTTGGATCGCGTATTCCATTGTCGGCCGGAGATATGTGTTCATGATAATAGGGAGGATTTCAGGCGTAAAACGATAAAATATTCTCCTAAGCATCCCGAGCAGTGCCGAGGTCTTGCGATATACTGATAGACAGTGTTTACTCGGCTTCAGGTTGCTAGAAATCCAGACGCCGAGGTCTTTTTCCTCAGCCACCCATTCCAGTTCATTGGATCCCAGTTTGTATGGGAAGTGGTAGCTCTTCCCCAGATTTATGAGTTTGCATTTCTGGAAATTCAGCGGCAGCCGGTTTTGGATGGACCATTCGTCGATTCTTTGCAGATCTTGCTGTAGCGCATCACAATCAGCCTTTCCATGAATTTCAGACCAGATTTTTATGTCATCAGCAAAAAGTACGGTTTTGCACTGCAGAAGTTTCGGCAGGTCATTCATGTATACCAGGAACAAAATTGGACCAAGAACCGAACCCTGAGGGACACCACTTGTGGCGGCAATTTTATCGGAAAACGCTCCATCGACACGAACTTGGACCGAACGGTCACTCAAATAGTCTTTCAGCCAGCTCAACAGATTTCCCGTCACGCCATACATTTCAAGTTTCCGAAGAAGGATACTGTGATCGACTCGATCAAAGGCTTTGGATATATCCAAGTAACAGGCATGTACAGTAACTCCCGCATCGACTGCTCGTGTCCAGTCATCGAGTGTCACGAGGAGATTGGATAAACAAGAACGATTCTGTCGAAATCCGTGTTGTTTATCGCTCAACAAGGAGTGAATTTCAAGGTGCGATTTCAGGGCTTCTGCTATAATTCGTTCCATTACTTTTGATATTACTGGGAGAAGAGTGACAGGTCTGTAGTTAGATGCACACGTTCTGATACCTCCTTTGAATATGGGGGCTATTATCCCGCATT